AGACAAGCTATGACCCGCAAAGTCCAGTTTTGACCAGGGGAGTGAAAAGTAAATACCGAAAACAACGGTAATGTTTTAACTGACTGAGTTTACTTAATGTAAACTCAGTCAGTTATGTACCATGCGTGATACACGCTTAGGCGATCATGTATCTTTCGATACATGACTGACGAAGCAGATTTTTTTCCTGCAGTAGGTTACCATTTCTTTCTGCGGCAGACCAGTTGCCATCCAAGGATATAGAACCCTGTCTGTTCTGCTATTTACCCATATCTGGGGGAGAATAAGTGAATTTATACCTCTCCCAAGGGTATTAGACGACAGTTAGCCATGTGCCATGCGTGATACACGCTTAGGCGACCATGTATCTTTCTATACATGACGGACTAGGTAGATATTTTTCCCGCAGTACGTTGCAATTACTTTCTTTAGCAGACTAGTTGCCATCCAAAGCTATAGAACCCTGTCTGTCCTGCTATTTATCCATGGCTGGGAGGAGAAGAAGAGGATTTATACCTTTCCCATGTTATTAACACGTAAGGGAATGTAACTGATTCGACCGGAATTCGAACTCGGCTCCCCGATTTCTCAATCCGAGCAGCTATCCATTAATGTAAACTACAAATAAATAACTCTACAATAAATAACATTTATTTAATATTAGAATTACATTTACAGCAGCTAATTATTAACGCGAGTTAATTTCATATATTTTTTAAATTTTTCATTCATTTTTTTTCTTAATATTAATGCATTTGGCATTCTATTTTCCTCCAGTCCTGGCATTTAGTTTCCACCCAGATGCTTTTTACGGAAACACGTCAGCTAAGCACTGGATTCCAGAGAGATTACTGGAGTCTTGAAATAACTGTCTTCTTAGGGCTACAAAATATATTCATGCTCTTTGTTTTATGCTGTGTCAGATGAATTGACACCAGTTTGAAAAGAGTTTCCATGACATCCGTCGCCAAAGAAATCTCCGATGCACCAAACAACAGAATACTCATACGTACAAACACATCTCAAGCAATAGAGACGCTCAGGTATGACAACAGGCAGAAGAGCGGAGGTTCAGATTATTCGCATTATCAAACGATGATAGTGGTTGACCTTCACATCTTGAATATAGCATACTATGAAATGATAAGCATCCTGGTACACGGAACGCGTTATTTATTAACAGAATGTCATCAGAAAGAGCAATACAAGTGCAGAAGGACGTGTACCTGTGTTTTATAGATTACACAATGTTGTTCGAGAAAATCCGCCACAAAGGTCTAGTGGAACTGCTCAGCAACCTTGATAACAACGACGAATTTTTTTGAGAAAATGGAAACAAAAAGAAAACATCAGGAAGAGACAATTACGGATTGCAGTACACATAATGAGGAAAGAGGACTTGGAAATTCTGATATCCACAAAACAGATTGGAGGCATTGCAGACAGAAGAAATCAACGCATAACCTAGTGAGCTTGAGTAAATTGATAACGAGACAAGGTTTAGTAGAAATAAAAGAAAGAAAAAAAATTATTAAGAGCTACAAATGACAGAAAATTGTGTTGAGCGTTGATCGCCTAAGTTTTGAGGGGAGAGGTCACATAAAAAATTGTTTTGCCTATTTGAAAGAAATGCATTAATTACGCTATTTGAAAATGTGGATAGAATGTGTTGCGGGTCTGGGCGATTGCTACTGGCATTACTGGTCCGGCAAACATTATATATATCCAGGTAAGTAAAGAATCAGATTACGGATATTTAATGGATAATAAAAGTATTAACGAAACATTTTTACAGAAAGGTGAAAGAAAGAAAGAAATTTAGGGTCTGAGATAGTTAAAAAAATTGAATCAATATGTAGTTCATATCTCTAAAGTGCTTATACGCACGTGTGTTTCAAGAGGCAGCGAAGCAATATGTTGTCGCGCCCAATGTCAAAGAAATAAATGGGCGAACCTTTCAAATTGTACATTCTAATTTTAATCAGGGGAGGTAATCCAAAAAAATCCTCAAACCATATGAAGAGATCCACTTCGTAAGCCAGCTATTTTAAGTAATAATAAAACAGTGCAAAATCTAAAAGCCACTCAAGAGGAGATATAAACTAAAATCACGAGGATATGGGGATATACAACGATCGACTCTAATCTTGAAAGGGTTAAGGTTGTAGGGTTCATGATGCAGCGTCCATGATGAAGACTATTCCACGAAGTAGCGTTTTTCTTTAAGAAGCTCTCTATGAGCTATTTCCTTCTTATAAATAGAGTACGAAGGGAATTAGGTCGATTCAACCCTGTCGACGTAGCATGACGTTCTTAACCGTAAAAGTCCGAGCCAATGAAATTAAAGAATGGAGATCATCGGAACATGTTAGAGATAGAATTGCGACGTTGTTCATATGTGGAAGAGGCTGTAATAACGGGGTCCGGTTTGTCTAACTCCCCAGACGAGACTTTACCCTTCGGGATGGCTTAGTCTGTGTTCCTCTCTGCCTGAAGGCAG